TGAATTCAATCCATATTATATATATATATATATTTAATTTCAATGACTGTCATTTCTCTCCACAAAACTTCCCTTTGACCAAACTAGCACATGAAGATCTCTTTCGTATTCTATATGTGCTCATACATGCTACTGAGACATTTGTAACCTTCTTCCAACACGTTTAATACTTAAAACTTGATACTGCCACTAATTTTATCTCATGAGCAGGATTTTTGGAACGTTTACAAAGTCGGTGGCAGCGTCAAGGTTGAACTTCAGGCTGTACCATTCCAGGGCAGAAGAGACAACAGGAAGCTTACGTTGTGACCGTTCCTTACATGACAGGTGTTACATACAGGAAATAAAATGAAAATCCTTATTAAGACTCACAAATGCATTCACAATGTGGCTCTCTCCTTCACTTTGTGATAATTTTCCTTTCATCTCTTAAGCCCTAACCACATAAGCCTTCTTTCCACTTCTAGGACTTAGAGAACACTTCATGCCTTATGGCCTTGTTATTTCCTTTGTCTGAAACACTCTTCTCACAAGTCTAATCTCTAATCATTTTGATTTTAATTCAAATATAATTTTCTCAAGATCTCTTCCATAATCCTTTTTTTTAAAAAAAAGATTGTATTTATGTACTGTAACTTCCATTATCTATTGTATTTTCTAGCATTTTCTGCAACTGTAAGTGCTTAAGCAATCATTTATTTAGTGCATGTCTGTCCTTTGCCACTCTGTCATGAGCCTCTCTCTCCCCTCATCATTTCTTTTGTCATTATCTCTCTATAATGTACACGCAGGAAGTGAATGACTGACATCCTTTAACTCTTGTGAGGCATTTGGATTTTTTTTTCTTTTTTCAGAACCAGGGATTGAACTCAGACCCTTGTGCTTGCAAGGCAAGCACTTATTCTACTGAGCCATCTCCCTGGCCCTTGTGAGGCATTTGAAGACTTGGCAGACCTTAGATAAGCTTAGCCTCATGGAAGCTTGGAACTGAAATCTTCCATGTTGAAAAACAATACTATTTCTACCACAGAAATGTTAACCACGGCTAACTCAATCTCCTTAATCTATATTTAGAGTCTTTTCTCCCTGCTCAGTTTATAATCATTGCAAATACATATTAAACTCTAAAAGTGCTATTTAAGAATTTTGACATCAAATGTTGTGTAAATAAAAACGAACTAAAACTGGACTGCAATGCTCCCACTGAAAAAGATAAATTGGTGGCTCAGAGAGCCAGCCACAACACACAATAGAAAATGAGAGGCCTTCTGCCTCAGAATATGTATTTATTTATTTGGTACAAGGTCTTACTATGCAGCTCAGACTTGTAGCGATCCTCCTGTCTCAGCCTCCCCAGTGCTGGCACTGCTGAAGTGCGACACCACACTGGGTTTAAGGCCAGGACAACATATGGTACTGAGAATCGAACCCTGGTCCTTGCACTTGCCTCCCTGAACTATCTCCCCGCTCCTCGCCTTCACATTTGATTTCATATCTCCATCAAAATCTAATACAGACTTTATTACCCAAAAAAGCCAGGTGCCAACAATATAAAGTAACTATCAAGCTATATGAAGAGGTGGCTGTTTGCAGCAAGTTTAAAGAACCTGCATGTAATTTGAATTTGTTTTTCTAAGATTTAAGAAAGTACAATATTGGAAATGTATTTTATAGAGTCATTCACTATAACAGAGTCCTTTAAATATTTCTATTCTAGTTTTATACAACTAAGGTTAGCAAAGGTTGTATACATTACACCATTGTTGAACTGTATATGCAACACTACTTATGTTAGCATAAGCTTATGGATTATGAGGGGAGTTTACTTTTATTCTAGAGTGACAAACTTACAATGAGGAAGGAGTATTCTACTTGCTTTATGAAGGAGAAGGACATCATAAACTGTGACTACATGTATTTCTGCTCCAATTGGGAAAGAAAAATTAGTCTTACTTTGTTGAAGAACTTAGATGTCTACATGTTCCTTTCCCATATCCCAAGATAATAATTTTAAAGATAATAAGCGAAACTCCCTAGTACCAAATTGTGCCTATACCCACTTACTCACATTCCAAAAGCATAGAACAAAACTCATGAAACCAATGTATAATGTATATTGCTCTTGACTAGCATCTTTACAATCATCTATCCCTTCTACCATATACTTTAATGGTATGGAGACAAGGGGCAACTGTGTAGAATCATTGCTCTGACCTTGCTGAAAACTTGTAACTATGAGTGTCTGAAATTGGGTATCCACCACAATAATAGGTTCAAATTGAAACTATGTACTAATGTAGCCCACAGTTGGTATCCCACCTCTACTTCCTTTTCCATTTCTCCTCATTCAAACAAAATCCTTGGCAAGACTGAATCACCCTACTTAAATACATTCAGACTCAAAGTTAATCACTTATTCACTTTGATCTTCTGGGCTGCTATGAAGCATGTCAGGCTGTATGATCCCAGAATGCAAAGATGAATAATTCATCCATGGTGTTATCAACAGTTGGTGACCTGCAATGCTCTGAATTTCTTGACAATCCAAAGACCCTTTTGTAAGAATTCTCATTAAAGACAATATTTTATGTACACAGTGCTCAGAACATTTAAGCAAGCACCTGGATTTAAGAAAAATGAAAAAGTAAAGCCAAATGTTAGGAAGGAAATCTCCAGGCCCTCAGTCTTTATCTTCAGGACTCTTTGACTTCCACTTCTTTGGATTCCCCTGGGCTGTAGAGACCCTTTTCAGCCCCACCCCACACTCATCCCACCAAATGGCTCCCGTCTCTCTTTCCTCTCCACTGTTACTGCCATTGCCTTAACTTCGGACCTAAGTTGTTTTCACTTATATAGTGTTCTAGTGCTTGTGTTCTGCTTCTTTGTTCACTTGTGTTTTGAGACAGGACCTCCTTAGGTTGATCTTAAAACTTTCCAGATATCCCACATGAGCCTCCAACTTATGATGCTTCTGCCTCAACCTTCTGCCTACTGTTAAAGGTGTGAGCTACCACGTCTAATCCAGTGCCTTTTTTTTTTTTTTCCTCTGTATTTTAGGGAAGGGTCTACAGGGTGTTCAGGATCTCATTACTAGATTGGACACATAGTGATCTGCCTGTTTACAGCCTCCCTAGTGCAGGGATTATAGATGCATGCCACCACATCCAGCCTCAATTGCTGTCTCAGCAAGCCCTGGGGGCAGGGCCAACATGGCAGGATATGGCAGGCCCAGGGATCAAACCCCTGAACACTAAGCCTGCTTGCAGGCACTTTAATCCGTTCAGTTATTTGGCCATCCCTTCCAGTGCCTTAACAGACATCTCAGCACAATGATTTTATGGTGAAGATGGCTAACTAAAATAATTATAGTACCATGTTTTCGCATGGAAACATACGTTTAGCCTGGAGAACAAAGTAAGGACGCCACTTTTTTTTTTTTTTTTTTTTTTTTTTTTTTTTTTTTTTGGCAGAACCAGGGATGGAACTCAGGCCCTTGCACTTGTCAGGCAAGCGCTTGTTCTACTGAGCTATCTCCCCAACCCCATCCACATATTCTTTGAAGAGGCAATAATCTGAGTTTGGATCTAAGGTGCACAAAGGGTACTTCCCACCCCTAAAACAGCTGAGACATGAAAATGCAAAGAGAGGTATTTGTCCTCTGACATTCATAGGGTCTACTGTTTACAGGATCTTAGCCCTCACTCAGTTAATGTTTAAACTAGTAACTTGCATTTAAGAAAAAATGAAGCACACAGAGGTTAAGTAACTTGCCTCTGAACACTGTCAGTAACTATGAAAGACAGCTCAAGCCCAGATAGCCTGGCACGAGTCCGTGTTATTAATCTACCTGGCGCCCAGAAAGCAGAGGCTATGTCTTACACACTCATGTGTACTTACCGCCTATCTTGCTATCTAAGTGCTTTTTAAAAAGATCAATCAAATACTACTGTAAAAAGGAAAGAAAGAAAGAAACAGAGGGACCAGGTGCACACATTCAAAACTAAACATTCTGTGAATATTTCCAAACAAACAGAAACAGCCAATCGTAGTTCTGTTCTCACTCTGGCCATGGGGAATTCCTCAAATGCAGATTTGACCCTATCATACCCCTGACCTGATCACTCATCAGTGTTTTCTCCAACTTTTATAGACAATTTTTCTTCCTACTGGTTGGAAGAGGACAGCTACCCATCTTTAAGAGCCAGGCATATGGAAGCCACACAGTTTCTTGAGGCCAATGCACCTCCCCCTCCACATCCTAGCAAGTCAGTCATCTCTGCAATGTATCCTGTTTGCTGAAATAACAAAACAGTGCTTATAACTGCTTCAAACGGCAACTGCAGGAAGATAAGTAGTCTACCACCACCCCATCATCTCCTGTTCCACATCTGCATTCTTTCTGAGTTCGCCAAGCTTTAGTTTCATAAAGACTTACACAAGCCAGCTACTTAGCCCCCTGAGTAGCAGAAGGCCCAGCCTCTCTTCCCTTCTCTCTGGCCAGCAGTCATAAGCAACGACTGTGCCAGTCACATTTCCATCTCCTGGACTCTGTCAATCAGTCCCTCCTGGGCTTTGCAAAGACACAGTCATTCTCCCAAATCCTAAGGCCGTGATTCCATTTAAGTTTTTCCTCACACACCTCCTCCCCAAGGTAGAATTTCCAGGCTCCTCATACTGCCTGCCTCTGCATGTGGTGTGCTCCACTGTGCTGCCCCTGGAGGCTGGTCTCCCTTTCAGTCCCCCTCAACCCCCCAGAGTGCCAAGCCATCCCCAGCCATCCAGGTAAAGCTCTAGTTTAAGGGAAGTTCAGGAACATCAGACAATGGGAAAGATAAGAAGGCTGCCTCTGAGACTGAAATTGGACCAGAACTGAAAGATCTGGGCATCTCAAATTTCTATTTTCTTTCCTAATAGAAATTCAGATTCCAGATCCCAGCGATGTTCGCTTCTTGGCGCCCAAAAAGTTAGGAGGCATCGGAGCTGGCCTAGCAGTCACTCACCAGCTGGTGGACGGTGGGTGTTTGTGCTCCATCGTTTTGGTCCAGGGTTTATACCAGCTGATCTGCTCAGCAGCTTTGCCCCAGAATCTCTCAGGATCGGCCACCGAGGCAGCGAAGTGCGTCTTGTACTCGCTGCCCCCGGAAGACAGCGCCCGGCAGCCCCGGACCCCGAGAGTGCCCCGAGGGCCCGGGGCCACCAAAGCCCTGCGGGCCACACCGCCTCCGCGGGCCGAAGAAGACCCGGGCAAGGGTCCCCCGAGTCCTCCTGCGCCGGTTACTTTACGACACTGCAACCACGATGGCTTCATCCCTGCCGATGCCCCCAACACCAGGCTACAAGCTGAGCCCCAGTCGCTCCAGTAGCCGGCGACCTCTGGGCCCCGGGAGCCGGCTGGGGGCGGGGGCAAATTCCGAGGTGTGCCCGGAGCCCAGAAGTTTGGAAGTCACACCAGAGTTGCCAGGAAAAACCGACCTGGAGCCACTGGGAAAGCAACAGGCTGGAGTGGGGACCGGCTGGCGCGGGGGCGGGGTGGTGTCACAGCTCCGCAGCGGGACCCGAGGCCCCCACGCGTGCCCTGCCCGCGGCGACGTCACGAAAATCTACTTCACACAACGGGAGATCCGCGACTTAGAGCAAAAGCACGCAGGGCTCGGGGACAAAACCACCAACTTCCTTGCTCTTTTCAAAAGGCAGGAGCTGCGCACTTCCTAGATTTCATCGCTGCATCCCCTCTGTCCCACACCCGTGGCCTCAGCCAGGAGCGCTGCAGCACGACCCCCCTCCCCTGGAGTCACTACTTCTGGTTATTTAAGCATTCGGTTGTCTGAAACTCAGCTTAGTTCCAGGTTACTGAAAACACAAAGAACTCTACAACAAGGATTGCTCCAGGATTTCCTGACAGCTGAGAGGGAGGAGGAGTGCAAGGTTTCCCTTAGACTGGGGGACCCTTGGAGGGGTGACTGACAGCCCTCCAAAAGGTGGCCCCTAGAGGATGGCGATTCCCCTTAGCTGTACCCCGTGCAGGAGCTGTAATTTACTCCCTTGGAGTTTGCCCCTTTGAGGTTTATGGGAGCCCCCCCC